GACCACTCATCTCTCCAGTGACCACGGACTCGATCTTTAGACGTTGGAATATCTATGTTGTCACCGATGCACTCAGCTGCAGCTCCGGATGTCACCAAACAGCATCCCTCAGCACTCAGGAAGAATGAAAACCCTTTGCAGGACAATGGATGGTGTTACCATGCAATTCTAGCAGAAGGCTTCTGGGGCTTACGGTTGCAATAAAGACGCGGGGCGTTCATGCATCTTCTCCAAAATGTGTCCGGGTACAAGATATAAGCACTGAGATGTCTTCTGGAATCCTGTTTTCTAAGTACATACCTTACTTAAGCATCTGCTCTGTTTGCTACCATGCCTTCCTTGCAAGCTCTCCGTCCACCTAAGCTCTCCTGGACCAAAGAACATGAGGAACGCCTGAACATACAAAATGAGAAAACGATCCCACAATTTTGGAGGCTAGCAAAAACAGGGATCCAGGTATGGACAGTCCCTGTTTCTTCTGCTTGGTCAGAGGAAGGGAGATGCTTTGAGAGTCAAGCGATGGTGCATCTATGCCCATGAGTGATGCTGCTGCTCCACTGAGGACCCCAGTGCAAATCTTCCCTTCCCATGGCCTACTGAGCTACGATGGCATCTAGGTGGCCAGAGTCATGCTGCTGCTCCATCCAGGACCCAGTGCGAATCTTCCCTTCCTGCGGCCTCCTGGGCTACGATGGAATCGAGGTCATTGTTGCCAGCAAGCAAGAACCTGCAGAAACCATGAGAGATAGTCTGGGTCACAGATGGGAATCATGCAATCCTCTGGATGTTGTTGGACTGCAACCCCCAGCCTTCCTCACTATGCTGGCAAGGGATGCTGGGGGTCAAAGTCCCTTTGCAGGGGTACTTTAGTGAAGGCTTCCTGCACTGCTAGGGTGCGAGTCAGTGCTTCTTTTGTTGTTGTGTGCCTTCAAATCACTTCTGATTTATGGCAACCCTAAGGCGAACCTTTCACAGGGTTTTCTTGGCAAGGTTTGCATCTGAGAGAGTGTGGCTACTGACTTCTTCATCAGGCAACCACTTAGGGACTCCATAAGTCAGAAATGATTCGGGGCACCCAAAAACAAATATACACACATTTCTATTTCAGTTGCACACTCGCAACCCCATAAAATCCCAGAAGACCCGTTTGGGTCTCCATATATCAGAAACAACTTGAAGGCATGCAGCAATGCCAACCTACATACATTTCCATTTGAGTCACACCCTCTCAGCTGTAGAAAAACCCCATGATAGGTTTGTTCTGTCTCCACAAGTCCAAAAGACCTAAAGGCTCACAACAAGAAGAAGAAGAACAAACAAAGACGCATTTCCATTGGAGTCACACACTCTCAGCCCCAGAAAAAAACCCTGATAGGTTCACCTTAGGGTCTCCCTAAGTCAGAAATGACTTGAAGGCACACAACAACAACAACAACATACACACACATTTCCATTTGCATCACACCCTCTCAGCCCCAGAAAAAAAAAACTTGATTGCTTCACCTTAGGGTCTCCTCCATCATGACTTGAAGGCTCACAACAATGACATACACACATTTCCATTGGAGTCATAGAATCATAGAGCTGGAAGAGACCCCAAGGGCCATCCAGTCCAGCCCCCTGCCATGCAGGAACTCCCAATCAAAGCACCCCTGACAGATGGCCATCCAGCCTCTGTATAAAAACCTCCAAAAAAGGAGACCCCATCACTCTCTGAGGGAGTGTGTTCCACAGTCAAACAGCTCTGACCGTTAGGAAGTTCCACCTAATGTTCCTCCTAATGAAATCTCTTTTCCTGTAGCTTGCATCCATTGAACTGAGTGTTATTCTCTGGAGCAATAGAATACAAACTTGCTCCATCCTCAATATGACATCCCTTCAAATATTTAAACAAGGTTATCATATCCCCTCTTAACAATCTCTTCCCCAGGCTAAACATACCCAGTTCCCTAAATCGTTCCTCTTAAGGCATGGTTTCCAGACCCTTTGCCATTTTAGTCACCCTCCTTTGGAGATGCTCCAGTTTTTCAACATCCTTGTTGAATTATGATGCCCAGAACTGGACACAGTATTCCAGGTGGGGCCTAACAAAAGCAGAATACAGTGGCACTATTACTTCCTTTGATCTAGATACTATACTTCTATTGGTGCTGCCTAACATCGCATTGACCTTATGAGCTGCCGCATCACCCAGTTGACTCACATTCAACTTGTGGTCTACTAGGACTCCTAGATACCTTTCACACATTGTCTCCTTCAGCCAGGTGTCCCCCATCTTATATCTATGCATTTCCTTTTTTCCGCCCTAAGTGCAGTGCCTTACATGTCTCCATGTTGAAATTCATTTTGTTAACTTTGGCCCAGGGGTATTAGCTACTCCTCCTAATTTTGTGTTATCTGCAAATTTGAGAGGCAGGCCCCCTATTCTTTCATCCAAGTCATTGATGAAGAAGATCTGGTTGTTATTTGGAGTATTTATACTCTGCTCTTCAGCTACATAGGCTCTCAGAGCGGCTTACAAATGGTTAAGTAGACATTTCTCTGCCCTCCGGCTTACAATCTAAAAAGACAAGACACAAAAGGAGAAGGGAAGGGTGGTGGGGAAGGGGAAGAAGTCCAGCAGATGCTGAATAGCTGACTCTCAGCCCCAGGAACCCCTCCGATCGGTTCGCCTTTGGGTCTCCCTAGGTCAGAAATGTCTGGAATTGGCACACAGCAGCCACAATGCCTGCATCATCCTCATCATCATCATCATCCTCCCCATCACTGCACCCAGGTCCACATTCACATGTGTCTCTGGTGTCCCTTCCTGGGTCTCCTCCACTTACCCTCCTGGCTAAAGCAGGGTCAGCCTGATCCCAGCTAGCCTGGCCTGGCCTGGCCTTTTCTGCTCCTCCTTCAGCGTCTGTCTCCATGTTACGATCAAGAGAAGGAGGAGGAGGAGGAAGCAAGCAGAGACTGGAAAGCGTCACTGCCAGGCGGAGCTCAGGCTGGCTCTTTCCATGGATGCATGAATCCCTGCATGCATGCATGCACCCTGCCTCCCTGACTGCCTTCTCTCCTTCTGGAGGACAGAAAGACCACCCTGAAAGCACCGCTGTCCTTGCTTAGCAATGCACCTACAGAAAAATTTGAGAAGGAGCGGGGCAGATTGAATGAATATTTACACAAAACATGGGGCTAGTCCAAATATTTTTGTTGCTCTTCACTGCCTTCCCGTGGATCTCGGCCCATGGCGACCCTATGGATGAGAGATCTCCAGGCCCCTCTGTCCCCTGTGACTCCATCCACGGTCATTGGTTGACTTTCTATTCCTTGATCTGACTTTTGGCAGACTGAGAGCTCCTCTGTCCTGCTGGTTCATTCTCATTAATTCTATTTTGTTGTTGCTGTTGTTGTTAACTGCCTTCGCGTGGATCTTGACCCATGGCGACCCTATGGATGAGAGATCTCCAGACCCCCCTGTCCTCCTCTGCTGGTCACTATCAAGGGCGGGACGTACTAAAGCAAATGACAATACTTGCCCATAGGGAACCATTGGGGAATACTAGTGTTTCCCTGTAATTCTCTATGGGCAAATATTCCCCAATGAATCTCTATGGGCAAACTTTCTCCAATGATTGTCTATGGGCAAGTATGGTTTCCTTATGGGTAAGTACTGTCATTTGTTTCAGTATGTTCCATCAAGGGCTAAAGGTTGAGCCCATGAATCTTCAAAGGAGTGTGACTCCATCCGCGGTCTTTGGTTGACTCTCTATTCCCTGATGTGACTTTTGGCAGACTGAGAGCAATTCTGTCTTGCTGGTTCATTCTCATTCATTCTATTTTGTTGTTGCTGTTGTTGTTAACGGCCTTCGTGTGGATATCGACCCATGGCGACCCTATAGATGAGAGATCTCCAGGCCCCGCTGTTCTGTACTCCTCTGCCCAGCTCCTGCAAACTCATATTCGTGGTCTCTTGGATAAAGTCCATCCATCTCGCATGTGGCCTTCCTCTCTTTCTACTTCCCTCCACCTTTCCTAACATTATTGTCTTTTCCAACAATTCATGCCTTCTCATGATATGTCCAAAGTATGACAGTCTAAGTCTTGTCATCGTGGCTTCTAGGGATCTCTCTGGCTTGATCTGCTCTAGGACACATTTGTTTGTCCTTTTGTCTCTCCATGGGATCCTCAGCACTCTTCTCCAGCACTATGCATTATCTCAAATGCATTGATTTTCCTCCTATCTTCTTTCTTGACTGTCCAGCTCTCACATCCATCCATGGGAATAGGGAATACAATGGCTTGTATGATTCTGGCTTTTGTTCCAAGTTGTATATCAGCCATGAAGCCCTCTGGGTGACCTTGGGCGAGTCACACTCTCTCAACCTCAGGTAGAGGCAATAGCAAACCTTCTCTAAACAAATCTTGCCAAGAAACCCCCATGATAGGGTTGCCATAAGTCGGAAACGACTTGAAGGCACACAACACGGCCACACAAGGCAACCCCTATCATGGGGTTTTCTTGGCAAGTTTCTTCAGAGGGGGTTTGCCATTGCCATCCTCTGAGGCTAAGAGATTAGTCCAAAGTCCCCCAGTGGGTTAACGTAGCCGAGCAGGGATTCGAATCCTGGTCTCTAGAGTCATAGTCCATACACCATGCTGGCTCCCCATTGAGCTGGTAGGTGTCTGTTATTATAAAATATGCCCCTTATTTGAGGGCCAGAAACCTTATAGGATTTGGTAGGTGTCTCTTATTAAAAGGGATGCCTCTTATATGAAATCTTGTCCCTTATAGGACTGGTAGGTATCCCTAATTATAAAGGATGTCCCTTACTTTGAGGGCCAGAAGCCGCATAGGTTTGATTTCTTGTCGTTGTGTGCTTTCAAGTCATTCCCAACGTATGGTGACCCTATCACAGGGTTTTCTTGGCAATATTTATTCAGAGGAGGTTTGCCATTGCCTTCCTCTGAGGCTGAGAGAGTGTGACTTGCCCAAGGCCACCCAGTGGGTTTCAGGGAAGAGCAGGAAATTGAACCCTGATCTCCAGAGTCACGGTCCAACATTCAAACCACTATGCCACACTGGCTCTTTATAGGTTTGGTAGGTGTCCCTTATTTCCGCGATAGCTATTTTAAATTATTTGTCATTTGTTGTAATGTTTTTGTAGTTGGTTATTTTTAAGTATGTTTTTAAATTTTGATTGTATTTTAGGGGTGGGTGGGCTATTGGGGGATGGGATTGTTCGTTTTATCATGTAAGCCACCTCGGTTGTATTTTATAGAGAGGCGGGATATAAATAATAATAATAATAATAATAATAATTATTATTATT